TGCAATTCAAGCCTATTATTAAAAGGTTGCCTGAGATGGATGCAACCAGGATTATGATGGGGAGCGGCAAATACTGTTGCTCCTTTACCAGCTGCAGACAAGTACTGCTCGTAGAGGGGCCACAGCCCATTCTGCTCCCCAGCATTCCACCTCAGTGCCTCTGTGGTGAAAAAGGAACGATGGTGCTGCAGAGAAAGTGTAGATCAGATGAGAGCTAAAATGGAACTACTGGCGATGGTGACCTCTAAAAACCCCTTCATTCCTGGTTTATTATTTGAAGGGGAAAAAAAAATGTGCTGGGCACAAAGTTCCCCTCAAAATCACATCTGTTCTGAGCAATTTTGAACAATCTGTAGAAACAGATTTTCTATTCCACAACATGGGGCTTTCATTATTAAAAAAAAAAAAAAAAAAAAAAAAAATAAAAACAACCAGCCAAGAAGTCCAAACATTTCAATGGCTCAGTAAATAGAAGGATGCTTGTGTGGAGGTTCTCTTCAGATACCCCAGCTTTCTGAACCTCTGAAGCAAAGGCTGCCTATTCTTTTCAAAGTTAGAAATCACTTTAATTCACTTGGTATTTCTTAAGCGAGTCTCCATGAGGAGAAAAACCTAGGCAAATACCAGATATCTGTATCTCGGTCTGTCAGTCTGCCCTAAAATTTTTCTAAACTCAGTCAATTGAACTGTACCTGAGAGAAGAGCAGATATCTCAAAGTTATTACTAATTACTACAATTTTTATGAAAATAAGTGGCCAGATAAAGGAGAGAGAACCTGGATGTGCCTCAGCGTAGGGAAGGACAGCTGAAGAAAATGCAAAGAGGAGATGAGCCCTTCTAAATGCCCAGCTTGGCTCAAGTTGGACACAAAACAGAAGGGAAGCTGTCCACCTTTTTTCTGATGCTGAAGATAGTTTTTTTAGGAGAAAGAGTTAAAAATTAATTTCTCTCTTTAAGTGGAAGACTCCGTATTTATTGTTTCTTCCAATGAAGAAACATCCTATCACTGTGCCTATCACCATTGCAAAGCATAGTGATAGTGCAAACCCCCACCTATGTTCATAGATTGCTTTATTTGTATCTTTTATTTCTTCTCCTAATGGTAATCTTAAATATATTGGTAATAGGAAAGGGTAAATTATACTGTGCAAAGGTATTGAACTGTGCCATTAACATGCAGCCTGAATAGATATGCAATCTTGGCTGAGCCTATTCTAATCTCTTCACTTGGCCTCCATATCAGAAAGCAGATAAACAGGTTTCAGCTATTGAAAACTGTGAGACTGAAAGCAGGTTACCAACTCGCACATGTTTTTAAAGTTTTTACACTCATTCATGCGTATTTTTGGCATTTTATGCCTCAATAATGTAGAAATTCCCCTCCTTTTTTTGGAGGTATGCCAAAAAACCTTAAATACCCCAAGCTCTGGCTGTTAGAGGCAATACTATGTTTGAAAACCCAGGTCAGCTGTACAGATCTATCAGTGCTTGCTGGAAAATACTCCAGCCCAAAGCTTTACTGAAATAAATTTAGTGTGTATGTGAGTCTATAGTTGTTTTTTTTTCCCCCCCCATCATGGCAGATGTTACAGGTGTCGCTCTCTACCGCTGACAGTTTTCAGACAAGCAGTTTAAATGAAGACATCTCTTGGCTTGCAGGGATAGCAAAAGCTACTCTGGTGGGTGCTTTTGTGCCTCCTGTGACTGTGTTTTAATTGCCACATTAGGATCTGCAAATTGAGGGTATTTTTTTGCTTTGTGTGAATGCCTTGACCCTAAAAGCCTGACAAGTTAGGGGAGGGCAGTTTCCTTGGTTTCCCGCTGAGGCATTGGTACATATATTCTTGAAAAGTAGGCCAGGATGTAATGCTCACTGCTGCTTCTCCAGTTAGATTTCGTTATCCATCTATAGCTGTGGCTGCGTGAAGGGAAGAGGTTGTGAAAAGGAACACGATCGGTGTTACCATTGTGTTTGATTGTTCATGAACCCTGTTTTGTTCTCCCTCCATGCTGCCCTCGGTTAGGATTCATCTCACTTTTAGTTAGGTGTTTAGTTTAGGGTAATTGTGTATGTTCCCCATGGAGTTAGCGGAGAAAGAGTGAAAGAGACACTTCCAGAAGGCAACTCATCTCATCTGAGGTAGGTATCTGAAAGATGTGTTGTTATTCATCCTCTGGAGGTAATTCTCTCTTCATTGAGGATGCAGCCACACTAGATGCCTGACTTTTAGTTAGCAAAGTTAGAGATGAGTCCTCCTTTCACTGTCCTTTTCTCTGGGGAGTCGCTGCTTCCTTCTGATCTTTGCTGTGATCCTGTATCAAAGTGTCTGCAATCAGTTTCCTGAAGTATCTCCATAAGGAGATGGAATTCACGGAAGAGAAGTGTTGAATAACGACCATAGTCCCAAGATATAATTTCCTTCTTGAATCCTGACACATTTGTTATATTCTTTCCCTGCTCATTAGCAGCTTTCTTCATGACTCCTCTTTTCCGTTGCCTTTCACTACGCAGTTGCTAACACAACCAGGGTGATGCTGGTATGCGATAGCAGTGTAAGCCCCACATCCCTACATGGCTGTTATGCACATAGAACTAAATATTATAAGAAGATTGTGAGTTCTTATAGCCTATTAAGTCCAATAAAATGAAATTCCAAAAAAATACCAAACTGGCCTCCAATCTTCTAAGTACTTAAGGCTCAGCCCTGTGTGGTCATCCAGCTCTGCAAGGGACTTGCTCTTACAGAGGACCTCCAAAACTAACGGCATGCGCAGTGGGCTGACTGCAGGTGTAGCATCCCTTCAGCTTCCCGGCTAAATGAAGGTGCTTGCAGTGTCCATTTTGCTTTTGCTATTTGATGAGGAACCCTCAGATGAAACGTTTGGCTGGCTTGATCTCGCAGCTGGAGATGGAGAAGGTTTTGACGCTGCTCACAAGCAGGCTGCCTTCATGGAAATACCAGCCTGCAGTTTTTTTTCTTTCAAGCCACTGTAGCTCTTCTACAGATCTGGGGCTTGGGATTTGTGTGTGGCTGGCCAGCAAGGAAGGTTACGAGTTTGCGTGTGAGCTGACATCAGTGTTCATACTAGTCTGCCACCCAGTGACGTTCTCACAGCTGTATCAGGAAGGTGCAGCTGATGCGTTAGGACTCTGCAGGGAGGATGCTCACATTACCTGTTCTGACCCGGGGAAGGTAACAGACTGATTGCTGCAGGCAGCTTGAACTCTGAATGAGCTGGATGTCAAATTGCAGATGCTTTCTTACACATAAAACTCTTCCTTGACATTTTCTTGTGGCCTAGTCCCTGCCTAGGCTTCGCCTTCTGGGAAGGAAAAGTATGATATCCTGAACTTTCTAGGAAATTTGAAATAAGCCAGTGCTTGTTTATGGCACTGGAGTTTCTTTATAGCTTAAATACTGTTGGTCAAGTGAATATTTCAAATATATCTTGCTTAAATGACAGTTGTTAAACTTCCTGGTAATCAAGCCCTAGGAAAAGAGGGGGAGCCTCAATCAGCACTGATATTCAGCAGCAGCCTAAAGGGATCTTTCAACATTTAAACAAGTGAAGATATGTCAGGGTAGTACTGGGACAAGAGAGTAATGAATCAGGCCCCTGGAATTTTCTGTTTCCTGCCAAGTATAGGTATACACAGAAGTAATAAAGTGAAAAAAAAAAAAAGTATTTGGATCTCAAGCAATGCTTTGCAGAAGTCCAAGTGATTCCTTTATGACTTAGCAAAGAGTTCTGAAATATGGTGAAATACAGAACTGGAAAAACATTTTAGCCTTTAATATCTTTTTTTTGGTGAAAAATTCACATTAAGTGACGTTGTGAGTTTATGTTGACTTTGGTAAATTGAGAGTGGGGCCCTCTCTTTCCCAAATGAAGATTCCAAAAAATACTACTTATATTTTTTCTGGAATATTTATTTTATTAAAAATGTCTAAAAGAATACATTGAAACCCAGATTACTTGGAATTTTCTCCCTTTTCCATTAAACCAAAGCTACTTTTGGTTTAAACTGAGAAGAATTTTTTATGATATATTTTTTGGCCTTGCTGCTGAACAGAATCTGTATAAAAGATTTGGGATAAATCAGTGGGTTTTGCTGCCAGAAAGCTTGTGCTTTGCCAGATTTACAATGCTAGCTCATACAAGCTAGCTCCCAGACCCTGGCAGGAGGTAACAGCCTGTGGTTTTATGCATCCCAAGTTGTGTGATATGGCTGATGATACAGGCAAACCGACCGATGCTCTTGAGAGAGTTTGAGGTGCGGGAGGACCGTAACGAGGAGCTGATTCATTAGCTCCGTGTGACGGCGAGGAAGAGATGATGAGTGAGCAGTCTTGTCCGCCTTTTGCTGCAGTGGAGGGGGAAAGGGACCTTTGATCTAGCGAGGTGACTCGCATTTTCTGTTCTTTAGGTATTTTTTTTTTTTTTAATAGCTAAAATCCTTTATTGATTCTGTTTTGCCAGGGTAATTGTTTAAATAAGCCAGGATAACTGGCACTCCAATGATAAGACCTACCATCCTCCTGCCAGTCAGTGCTGTAGAAAGGGCCAGAAGATGCTCTCCCTGACCCAGCAGGAGATGTGAGCCAAGCAGGCAGGACATAAAAGCCCTTCTCACTTACCTCCCTTATCACATGTTAGTGAGGCACAGACCTGGGCTTTGTTTTTTAGAGGAAAAGGCCTCTCTTTCTTCACCAATTCTCAACAAGGATGGGGACATTACTGGCACTCTGGCCCTCCTGCATCTCCAGTGGGATGGCTGTAAGGGATGAGTGGACGAGTGGAAACGAGGAGCAGGGGTGAATAAGGGAGTGAGTGACGAATTTATGTGGGGCCTGAAAGCTGAACATGATTATTAATTGTTATTGTTTTCTGAAAATGCAAATCTCTACTCAAACAAGTGACAAGGGTTGGGCAATTAATTTCTTTTATCCAAGGCAGGGTCCTTCCAGGCCATCGTCTACCAACAGCTAACGAGTCTGGGTAAATGAAGCTGTAATTTGGTGCGGAGGGAGCCAGGCAGAGAGCAGAGAGGTGGATGGGCCATGCAGTGGGTCAGACAGAGGGGCTCAGCTCAAGCGTTTCGTGCAGCATCTGGAAGGGGGAATGTGAGAAGTGGGAGGGCAGCAGCTGGAGAAGGTTATTGGGGTGTATTTCCTTTAATGCGTAAGGATCTATTGTGTGTGCGGCCTCTCTGTTGGCAGAGAGTTTTGTGGCAATTTCAGTGGCATGAGTATTTCTTTCTGACTTTTCTTTTTCCCCTTGCAGCGCTGGTGATGGTCCTGAATAGCACGAGTGTCAGCTGGAGTGCCCGCATTCAGATATTCCTTACCTTTTGCAAGCTTGTAGCAATTCTGATAATTATAGTCCCTGGAGTTATCCAGCTAATTAAAGGTATGAAATGAAAAGTAAATGCTTTTAAAGTGCTTTTATCTTTACCCTCCCCAGCCTTTCCCCATCTGCCTCCACCAAATAGTGCTTATAGCAGCAAAATCTCTTAATTAGTCTGTGCTTGTTTAACTGAAGCTCTGTACTGTCCTGTAATTGATTAGAAGTAGAACTACACTGGGATGAACTGGTATTTCCTTCAGCATGCCAATGAGTCTATTCAGACCAGACTCGGTTGTCAAATGAGCGACAGGATTGCTCTTCTCTGTAATTTGCCTTTGGCGTGAACTTTGTGAAAGGGGCAGCGTGCGTTTTAATGACTGATGGGCATACCCCTCCCCAAAGCACATGCCTAGTCCGGCCAGAATATGTCTCCGTTAACTGGGCTAGTGCCTAGTCCTGTTTGGTACTGGGGATGTTGGGTGGCAGAGGGGTCAGAATTGAGGAATACATGAAAGAAACAGTATCACAGATGCTGTTCTACCACTTCACTGATGTAAATTGTAAAGTTAAAGGTGCTGTACTGGCAAGAGAAACTGTAGTTTGCTATTGCTTTCATGGGCGTCCTGCCTGCAAGTTCTGGATGCTCGTGCTGCGTGCATGCTTCACTTCTTCCAAACGAAAAACTAAAGCGTGCAGCTAAAGGTAATGGTCTGGGGCTAACCCAAGCGTAGGAAAGGAAAGCAGAAGTGTTTGGAGGGCCAGAATTGCTCTACAGACTTCATCAATGTTGCCGCGTAAGTGAGGACTGTGGAAACACGCCTTTGCTCTCCCCAGCAGCACCCAGCACAGACGTGACCACACGGGCCTTTCCTTGCCTCTCTGGAAGTCGTTTGGGTAAAGTCAGGCTGGCAGAGAAACTCCTTTTTCCGACACGTGCTCAGCTATCTGAAGAGGCTTTCCCATTGCAGCCCGGTGGGCAGTGGGCGCGAGCGGGCGGCGAGCCCCCCGCTTGCTCTCGTTACAATAACGCTGGACAATATCCACAGAAAGCAGGAGGAGCCCTTCAGGGCTGGGGGTCAGAATGGGGGAGCACTTTTTAATGAATTGGTGGCAGATTTTGTCGAACAAAAATCATTGCCGTTGTTGGCTGTGTCCCTGGGGATTCTCTTTTGTGATGCTCCACAAAGCCTCCCATCTGAGTTGAGGGCGCAGCATCGGGGCTCTGCGGGTGAGCTCAGTCTCTCTGGGACGGGCAGTTCTCTGTGGTTAGCAATAGACTCTGAAATAAAAGTTTTCCTGTGTAGTGCTCTGCTGATTCACTGTTTCTGTTTTCATGTTTTTCACTTCCTTTCTGGCAGTCGCAACGCCTCTTCCCTCACCTCCTTTCATGTGCAAAATTTCTCTCTGTTCCCATCCACCCCATTTTTCCCAGACCTTTGGAGCAGGCCAGACCCAGGTTTGCAGGGGTTTTGCTGCCCTTAAGTAGCTCACATAGTGTCCCTGATTCTCCACTGGGACCTTTCTCTGGACTCAGATCTTCCCATACCCCAAACCCCTCTGCTTCGGTACGAATTTTGACTGAGGGCTCAGTAAAAACCGAGTGAAGGGTGGAGAATTTGACCCATTACTAATTTAAGTCTGAATTAGTTCTGCTTCTTCCTGCTCCTTTTCTGTGGAGGATCATTGTTGCTCAGGAAATTTAGGATATTGTAGGGGGGTCTTACAAACTACATAGCACCCTGTAAATGAATAAAAGCATAACACAACTCTTACATGTTTGCATTTATAGATACGTAGTTCTTACTTAGTATAATGTGAATACAGCACTGACTACAGTGTGGTAGGGAGTGACTACATTCTTCAGTGGCAGAAACGTTTAAGATATTGGGTTTGTTTACCTTAAAAATGTTGCTTGTGGGTGAAACGCTAGCAGTGTTCCTTCTGATTAAAATGTTAAACAAGTGCAATTTTTCCACAGCAAAACCTACAGAGCTCATTCTGCTCTTCCGTGTTGATGTAAGTCACTGCGGGAGATGACAGTGCAGTGAGTGTCATCATGCTCAGAATGCTTTGAAGAAAACTAATAGGTCAGATTCTGCTATTGCATGAGTAAGGGTGCCACGAAACCTTTTACAATTGCTGGCACACTGCAGCAGCAAGGGTTGGGTCAGAAATTGAGGTCAAGGGCAGAACTTGAAGTCAGTGAACTGTTGGGTGATTAAATGTTCCATGGTGAGATATATTTATTTGTTTTAAAGTAGTAGGTGACCAAAGAGCTTATTTTTCAGTATTGTTTTTGTTGACGTTGCAGGAGAAACACAGCACTTTAAAAACGCCTTTGCGGGGAATGATGCCAGTGTTATGGGATTACCACTTGCTTTCTATTCAGGAATGTATGCCTACTCAGGCTGGTAAGTTGTTGAAAACTTATAAGTATTTGTCCTGAAAATAGACACTAATACGTTCTAACAAAGACATTTATTTCTATGAAGAAATGAGTAGCACATTCTGCATATTTTGTCAAACTCCATCATGTAGCAAGGGTAGATCTCACCACTGTTCCACACGCTCAATAGTGATTCTTCAGGCAGCTCTATAAAGGAAAGATTTTTCTTCTCTGATGTACAATAGGTAAACACGCACTGAACACTAAAAAAATCAGATTTATTTCTGTTCTTAAGACCAGAAATAAAGGCAACGAGAAAGGAATGTTCTTAAATTTTCATTAGGTATTTTCATAAAAGAGATAATGGAGCTTTAATTTTTGTTGAACAAGTCAGTAATTGCACAAAAAATTGATGAGCTGTTGTGGATCTCCATTCCACTTTGCGTGGACCTCAGCCTTTGCTTTGTAAAAAGCAGTATTTGAAGAATAAGAAGCAAACCGTGATAATAACATTGGTATATAGACCACCAAACAAGGTAAAAAACTAGATTCTTATGCCTCTTGCTCTGAGAGAATTGGACCTCACTTAACAAGAAGTGCAACTGGCTTCCATAGAAGTCAAGTGCTATTGACTGTGAGCAAAGGTGTGAGAATCCGCCTTCAAGTATCCCGCTCAGAACTTTCTTTCAAGTTCTTTCCTTCTCCCCCACCAAAGTACACAGCAGCTGGTTTGAAAGGTGCTGCCGCTCTTCAAATCTGCCTCACGATTTATTCGCGCTTAGCGAGGGCTCCGCATCGCACAGCGCCAACCTGCTTTTGCAGCAGCAGTGTGGGGCGGGGTGGGGGGGGGAAAGGACGACAATGCACAGAGTGGGCTTATTTTGAGACAGCTTTGTCTGCAAGTCTTCCCTTTCCTTTCCATAGCCTCACAGGCAGCCAAGTTCTTTACCTCGCACAAAAGGCGAGGGCTGGGAGATAAGGGGTTTATTTATTTAATTCGGAGGGACAATGGCCCCAGCGTTTGAGGTCTCTGCCTGCCTGTAACTCCCCGGTTGCAGGAGCATTATAAACATGCACACTGAAGTACTGAACAGAACTTTTGTATTAAATGGTAGGGGGGGGAAACCCAAGAGAGTCCAAAGCCTTTATCTGTAATAGATATATAAGAAAAGAGCCTGGCATTTTGAAGCCTCAAAGAAATTGAACTCATTATGCGGACAGTCTCTACCGTCTTCCCTCTCTCTCATATAACCGCTTCTTGTCTCTCACATCCATACATCTGATGGTTTCTCACTTTTAAAATATTAACCTAACTGTACTTTTTTGTATGAAGCCAATTTTAAAAGCTCTTTAATATTATTCATCACCCAAGCAGAGTTTGTTTACTGTAAACTGCTACATCAAAATCCTGTTATTCTGTTGCGGCTTTCTCATTTCTTTCCATTTTCCACCTAACGTTCCACCCCCCTACAATAAAAATCATCTCTGTTTTTCCTTTACACCTTCTGACTTTTATTTCAAGGTCCTTATTTGCCACTTATAAAAGAAATTAGCAGGAAAAGACCTAATTTGGCTAGCGGTTCTTCCCAGCTGCCTATTTATCTTTGTCACCAGCTCAAATTGATTGCCTCCGAGCGCAGAAGAGCAGACCATTAAGTGGAGTGTCAATACCCTTGCACTATCAGTTTCATGGGGCTAAATCAATCCAATAAGCTGAATGTGAAGGAGCGTTGCAAGTGTTGGTGGTGTGTCCCAGGACGCAGGCAGAATTTTATGCATAGCCTATGAGACTATTAACTTTTAATGATACAGCCTTAAAGAACAAAGCAAAGGTAGGATCACTTATGTGTGCGGGTTCATCCTGCGAAGAGCAAGTGTAGACTATTGGGTATATAAAGTGCTGGGTGAAAAGGACAAGTAGAGAAAAGAATGCAAGGAAACATGTCTTTGCATCAGTAAAAGGACCAATGCAGGCCTGCCAAATTACTTCGGTCTCGAAGCAGGACTAAGACCAGAAAAAAACAGCTGGGTGCCTTACTCATCAGAAGCCACCTCTCCTTTGAACTATCCCAACCCCTTCGTTTGTCCTCTGCGCCCTAGCAAGTTTAAAAACAAGTACTGAGGTTGTTGTATAGGATGGCAAATCTAGTTTTACAGAATTTCATGTTCAGTCACAAAATCACTTTTTTTTTTAATTTTTTTTTTTTTAACCCTGAGCCAGAGCTAACTTGTTCTGCTAAGCCAGTTCTGGTCCAAGACCAGCAATGTAGAAAAGTTCCCAGACTTTCTGCCAGATCAAGTCCCATTTGTTTATTCACTGTCGCGCTGTTGGGTCAGATATCCATTGTCTTCCTGTATCTGTCCTAAAAGTGGAGAGCCAGCATAAGCGCTGTATTGACTGCTCTGTTTAATTAGCCGGGATGTGACTTTGTGCCCGCATCTGAGCCAGGCACATCCATGCGATCCAGCGACGCTCAGACCGAGCGCTAATAAATGCAGAACAGAGGGTTCAGTGACCTTGAGGCTTACGGTTGCTTTGTATGCAGGGCTGCGCCCGGTGAGTAGTTCCTATGAATTCCCACCCGTAGCTGTCTCTTGCACGCCGCTGGAATACAACCGGACTGCAATCTGTACTGGAGGTTGTGCAAGAGCACGCTGGATTAGCAGCCGGAGTTTGTGGTAGTACACGTCATAGTACTGTCAAGATACTGGTTTCAGGAGGGTTTTTTTGAGGCTTCATTCGCTTTTATTGTTAAGAAGTCTGTGCTGAGTACCCTGATGAGAATTTTTGCCAATATGACCTGAAATTGTAAAAGGCTGCAGCCACAAATGGAGTATGAAGCTTGGGGTTGTGTGTGCGTTTGTGTATGAGATTAGGGTAAACCATACTTTGTCTGGTATGCCAGGGAAAAAGAATTAATTTCATTCCACATCAACATTACTTAGCTTTTGTCTTTTTTTTTTCTGCTTTGCCATCTTTTCTGAGAATTCCCTTCCTGAGTGTGGGGACGAAGGAAGGTTAAATCTCACACCCTCCTCAATCCAAACATGGGTCTGCAAAGTCTACTGTAATTAACAGCAGTGCTTAACTAAAAGCATCTTCTTGATCCTTTGGGAAAGAAATACAGAATCAAAATCTACCGAGCCCTTATAATATATTTTATAACTCTTTTCTAGGTTTTACCTCAATTTTGTTACTGAAGAAGTGGAAAACCCTGAAAAGTATGTACCTAATGTTTTTCTTGACTTTTGAAAAGTAGTCGTAAAATTTAAAATGCTCTAACAGTAGTGATCTTCAGGAATTCTGCACGCTGGTCAAGTTGCTTGCTTTCCAGCAGATCTGGTATCTATTTGAATTGCAACTGCTTGAAGATTTGCTATTTTTGGCCCATCGTGACCTTGTTATGTATTCTGCTTTTATGTGCACAGAAAGCAGAAAACTAAGTAGATCTCCAGGGCTCTGATTCCTCCCCCTCAGGACACAAGTAACGATGAGTGGCTCCTTTCAGTGGAAGTTGCTGGTATCCTGTCAGGGAAATCTTGCCCAAGAACCTTATCTGCGGCGATATTTGGCAGTTTTGCTGTGTTTAAATATTAATCAAATACGTAGTTCTACTTGTTTTAGATGTCTCCAAGTTGCAGGATCTTGAATACATGTAGCGCAGCATCCAATCCAATTAAGCCTAACAGGGGATATTGGTGGGAGTCTGTTTCAAACCCGAGACCAATGCTCCCCCAGCGCTTGTCTGTAAAATGTGGAAAGAAAAGCTGTCCTGTTGTGGAGAGTTTGATTTGGCAGACCTATTTTGGTAGACCTGTTTTGGTACATGCAACCAGTAATAAAACAATTTACTAAAAATGAAAGAAAATATGCTTTGTCAAATCAAATTGTGTTCTTTGAGGAAATTAACAATTTGCTTGATTAAAAATTAATGGGTAGATACATTTTCTTAGGTTTTTAAAATAAGATACATGTCTGGGTACCAACTAACTTGCTGTTTAAAAAGACCCCCCAGCACTGTACACTCTGAGAATATAAAGCTACATGTCTGAAACATGTAAAGAAATAAAAAAAAAAAAAGCCCAAAGAGCCATTGGTGGGGAGCATGCAGAAGGTTTTTAGTTGTTTTCTTCAAAGTCTGAACCAAGCCTGGTGCTGTTCGGACTTTTCATCAGAGACCTGAAAACGGTGATAAAGCAACTGACATGGGGATGGCAGAAGGACTGGCAGGTTTTTATTGCCTCAGTGCCTTTGAGGGGTCTTGGGTGTTAATGGGCTCGTTAATGTGATCAGGATATGTATACAGAGGTTGGTTTTTTTTGTTGGTAGTCTTCAGTTCAGACAGAGCACCTTTTTAGAAGCTGTGTGTTACTAAAACCCAAGTCATTTGGCTTGGTGGAGAGCAGCTGGCTAAGGCTTCCCAGGCCTGGGACACACAGGACCGCAGGCTAGAGGATCTAGTAGCTAATCTGGGTTTAAATTCCAAGGGGCTGTGTGCTTTATAGAAGTCAGGGGATGCAGATATTTAAAAAAAAAAAATTCACTTTTTATTTTTTTTTTTTTTTTTTACTTTTGAAAAATCATTGCATGGCACACTGACTTGAAAAAAAAAATTGAAACTAAATAAAGGAGCGAAGTGATTCTGGTCCAAGACTTCGACTGCTTCAGGAAATTCTGGGGAGATGGGTTAGGAGCCGGAGTCTTGGTGATGCGATCAAAAGCATTTGCTAGAAGCAATATAACTTGTAAATTATCATGTGGTTACCATTAATACTGCGTGATGTTTCTAAACAAGCACATGCCCACCACCCTTTGGGACTTTTCATACGCTTGCATGTCTCTTCAGTCCTCTTAAATCTGTGGTGATTAACTGAAATTACCAATAATTTTCATTACAGCTATTTTGGTTTATGTTGACTTTTTTTTCTTGTGGTCTTAGTTAGAGGAGCGCATATTCTTCAATGCGTTGCCCTCTTCTGCGTAGGACAGAAAGGCATAGTTCCTTCTTTTTAACCCTCATTGAAACATTTTGTATCACAGTTCAGAAAAGTGGTGTGGGTTAAGATTTGGGGGATTTCTTCACGGTAGCTGGGATGTGAGGCAGGGAGATGTTCATTTCTGCCCCCCAGAGCTTCTCTGTTCCCCAGGTTACCCTTGCAGAGCTGCTGATGGTGGGGGATGTGGGACCGGGGGGCAAGCTGCATAGCCTGGCTGGTTTGGTGTATTCCAGGATAGCTCTGGGAAAACCAACTCGGTGTTACATGCGCAATGTTGTTGTTGTTGATGTCCCTTCATCGCTTTTCTTCTTGGGGTGGCACTTGGAGGGGATGAGAAGGGAAGATGTCCGGTGTGTTGGGCGGGGTGCTGGGGGTCACAATCTCTGTGTGCAGGTACAAATACACAGTAGAAGAGATTGGGATTTTAAGTGTGGCTAAATAAGCGGCCGGTGATGGCAGGGCAAGTGGATTGCTACCGACTGTGCTGTCGGAGACCTCTGTGCCACCTGTAAATGGGGATTCTGGACTCCATTAACCTGAAACAAGCAATTGAGCAGAACAGTTGGAAAATATATATATATTTTTTCCAGTGCCACATGTGAATGGCTCTATTGGAAAGATGCCCTGCTGAATGGGGGGCCTGCTCCACCACTGTTCCCAAAGATACAGGGCAAGGGAATGGTGTGGACTAATCCCAGGGGCAACCGAGCACAGGCGTTAGGTGAGTCATTAATTGTGCTGCTGTTGTAGGCGTTTATTGGAACTCAACTGATATATTTTTTTCTTTTTTTTTTTTTTTTCTACCTAAAATGCTGTCTTTCCTTTCATTCTTGCTGTATGCCTTATGTTAAAGGTTCCATATAGCGCTGCGGAGGTATTACGTAGCTGTTTTTTAAAAGGGAGGAAGAAAGTGTAAGCTTGAACCACTCAGAGTCTGTAACCGCTCCAGGTGTGCAATTTGTAATGTTTGTCAATGGTTAGGGATGCAAATTACTTACAGCAGCAGAGGTGAGCATGGTGATGCCTTCTGCACTGAGCATGCCAAGGTAAATGTTTGTCAGAGAATCAAGCCACAGTTGCGTATTTCCAGGTGCACGGCAGCTTTTAAAATAACTGACAGCTGGCGCTGAGATGAATGATCAGCCCCGTCCCCGCGTTAACCAGCCTGCTGCAAACCCTTGGGCAAGTGCACCGAGGGAGCTGGGGGTGGGAGGATAGCACAGCTCCAGCAAAGGGAATGTGAGAATGCTCGATCGGAGAGAGGAGCGGCGGCGGAGCTGCCGAGGGCCCATGTTTGTAGGGACCTGGGTTTAAGCCCCTTTTTAGGTGATGTGTCCTGGGCTCCCTCTCCGCTCTCGTGGTGTGGTAGAGGGTGAGAGGGAGATGGGTCAGGGCCCTAGAATATATCCTGAAATGCACAGGCAGGTGGAAACCTCTGCAGAAAGGGCTCCTGAAGGCGGTGGGAGTCTGTGTAGGTGCAGCGGTCTGCCCGGGCGCTATCAATTGCAGATTTAGGTCTATAAATAGGATAAATACTATGGGCCTGAGGCGTTGAGATGCCTAGGCAATATGAAATCCTAGATGGAGAGAGCTGAGACAGAGACAGTGGGGAGGAAGTGCCCTTTAAATTACAGAAGGGAAAAAGGAAGAAAAAAATCTCAAAGTGAATGCAGTTACTTTCTGAACAGATTTTTGGAAGTAGTGCTGAATTCCCACTTTGGAAATGCCACAGTCCCTTCTTTTGTATCAGAAAAAGGGCATTCTTATAACCCCAGCCATCATAAGATGTAGAAGTAGCTGTTTCTGTCTCCTGCTTAACCCCCCTTTTGATGTCTCATTTTTAAGCCTGGACTTATTCTTTTATTCCTCTTTGTTAAAGTGTTTCCCTCACACAGCATTAGTAGGACCTGAAGCTACACAAAGTTGGTATTTGTTTTACAAGGAGCTGTGGTTGCAGTGTTCAGCTGCTTAATGTACAATTTTTTATTTTTTTTTTTAAAAGCACCCAAAATAATTTCATTATTAAGAATATGTGGAACAACATTGAAGTGTGATACCAAATTTCTTTCACTTTTGAAAATTATGCTTCGCATAGGTGTGCTGGGTCAATAGCGATTGCTGTTTGAAATGAAATATCTGCATAATCCCTGAAGCAAAGCTTCACTAAAACAACCTCATGCAGCCACATCACGTGCAGCTTTGATCTTTTTGATTTTCTTACATTATAAGGATCAGCCCTGCTCAAACTGAGGTCGTATTGTATTGTCTAAATAATAAGTGAATGAAGGAACAGCCGGGTCTCTGAGAGAGAATTTGTCACCTGAAAATTGACAGGAGCTGTGTTGCCTGGAGCAGTAAATTCAGAGGACTGGAAATCAAGCATGTTGAACTTTCAAACTCATTTCTTATACATAGTCCTGGAGCTCATCTGTATTCTCGAGCATCCACTCTGCACTCTCAAGAAACAGATCGAGCTTTTTCAATCAAGACCCTAAAAGCAGCTCGTGCCCAAATGGCACTTCCCTCCTCCCTCCCCAGGCAGAGCCGAGTCCGGCATCAGTGCTCTAGTTTATCAGGAATTTTGACGACCTCCAGATGAGAAAATAACACAGGAGCGTTTTTACATTACGGCAGTGTCTTCAGAGCCTCGTCAAAGTCAAGGCCAGATTGTGCCAGATGCTGGCCAAAGAGAATCCTGCTTTAAAAAAAATTATGTTCTACATCCTCAGTATGAGCAGATGATGAGCCCGAACGCTTCATGTTGTAAAGATTAGGCTCTTGTTGGAAAAGAAAGAAAATATTATTTCACTTTAAGGGAAGGGAAACTAAGACTTTAATTCCTTAATGACTTCAAGGAAGTCTGTGATCATCCAGTGGGCTACTAGAGGGATTCACAATCCTCCTTTAACTCAAAATCATATTATTTCTTTGGCAGCGTAAGTTTTTTGTTAGCCTTGTTGAACTTAGGAAATATTTTACTCTAGTGGTCTTCAATTTCATTTGTATAAAATGATAGCAGATTTTTAAAGGATATGGATTCTGAAAATATTTTACAGCAAAAAGTTAGATTCCTTTACTGTTACAATTAAGTGTAGCTGTTATTTGGCATTGAGCTATTTTATTTGCAAATATTCTATTTCTGTTTGTAAAATAACTTTGGTCCAACCCAGGCAATCTATCATTGTTTAAAAAGTTACACAGTGCAAAGAACATATTATTGAGAT